TGTGTGTGTGTGTGTGTGTGTGTGTGTGTCTAGTTTTAGATGAGATTAACCAGACGTGAAAGTATTTACAAACGGCTGGGAAAAGCCTTGAACCATGTATATCAGATAGTGACCTTGATATTAGTAGCACCTAGATAGTATAAAGACTACTCACCAGTGAAAATATGGGGAGGTGTGGATGTCAAATAGAAAAAAACCGCAAGTTTAGAGACCTGCCAGGGCAATGACTGAATTGGATTATGGCAGCATTTGCTATTATTAAGCCATTTTTCTCATCTTTGTAGAAAAAAGTTTTTTACCCAGTGTAAGCCAGATGTGGGGGTATAGCTCAGTTTGAAGGCCCAGGGTTCAATCTCCAGAACCACAGGGGTTGAGGGGGGTTACATACCAGTTTAATAAAATGGTCATAAGCATGTATGTTTTAATGGAGTTTTTCAGCTGCAGACATTAGAATTGATCCTGAAGAAATAAAAACACGGACAGTATTATATCAAGCTTATTGGGAAATGGAGTTCTAAATTTCTTCCACACTTATCCCCTATTTAAGACTTTTATTAGGGTACCACAGTATTTATATATGTTACTTCATGTGAAAGAAACTTTAAAAATTAATAAAGCATTGTTGGATCAACTACTGTTTTAGTAAAACACTGACAAATCTGACTGATGTGTACGTGACTATACATAAAATTGAGCAGGAAATCATTACTGTATTTTTTCTGACTGTTATTATTTCATTTTTGTTTCTGAAAGTTACTTGATGCTGTGGAGGGAGTGGCCCGTGAAAAATGTGCATACTGCATACAGGTACCGGCCACACTATGGAAGGAGTGGGCTGGTTGCTTCCTGCATTTAGTGCCAGGCACTCACAGTGATGCTCCTTTCTTGTTTTTAACAGTGCTATCATGACGGGGTCCTACAACAACTTCTTTAGAATGTTTGATAGAAATACTCGGAGGGATGTTACACTGGAAGCTTCAAGAGAGAACAGCAAACCCCGAGCCAGCTTAAAACCCCGAAAAGTATGTACAGGTGGTAAAAGGAAGAAAGATGAGATTAGTGTGGACAGTCTGGACTTCAATAAGAAGATCCTTCACACAGCCTGGCACCCCATGGAGAACATTATTGCCGTAGCTGCCACCAATAATTTGTATATATTCCAGGACAAAATCAACTAAAGAAGCTAACTGAAGGACCAAGTCTTGTCTTGCATAGTTAAGCCGGTTGTTTTTCTGTCAAAGAAAAGGCATTGTCCTCTCCATTAAGAACAGAGATCCACTTCCTACTTCCCTTCATAACAGAGAAAAGAAGCAACCTTGGCTGGAATCCTGGCATTGCTCTGCCTTTAGCCTAGGGAGAGATGCTTGGTGCTGCAAGGGGAAAACCCACTTGAAGCAGAATTGGTGGACATTGCTCAATAAAGGCCATTACTCAAAATAAATGTATTTATTTAAGTCTGAGCCTTCCTTTCCAGTTTATAGACCAAAAAACTAACTTCCAAGAGAAAAAGTGTTGTCAAATATATTTCTGTCTCCAGCTCTCTATCTCTGCCATCCTAGGGCCCTCTGGACATGGTGTGGCCATTGTCCATGTTCCTTGCTGGCCTTTCTGAGCCAAGTGGGCATACCTACCCTTGGTACCCAAGGAGAGCCAGGCAGGTTTACTCACTAATTCCATCGACCATCACACCTTCTGGTGTAACCACTCAATAAACAACACACTGTAAAGTGTTCTTAAATCTAAACATAAGTATTGTCTTTTTATTTGTCTCAATTGCATATAATAAAATTATGCAAAATTCTTTGGAATAATTTGAGAAACTTTTGTCCTTTGGCAGAAGGGTGGAATGTGTATAGTACTTCAAATTCTAAATATAACTATCTGCAAGCTGCCATAACTTTTTTTTGTTTCTGTAGAAACAGTCCATCCATTACACCAGGTAAGGTCTGGGAAAAGCCATAGCTGAGTCCACCTCTGAGAAAAAAATTACAAGAGTAATGAAATTGCTGCTATAAAATTAAAATTTGGCTTAAAATAGGCCTCAAATTCACTACAATTGAAAACTTATGTGCTTTCTTTTAAAATCTTTTTTAAAAGTACTTTGGGAGGGAAATGTAGTTTTTAAATACTGCTAAAATTATGTGCATGCTAAATTTCATATCCCATTTCAAGCCAGCAGAATTAAAGCTTTAATTATGTGATGCCTCCAGTACCTTGGTTTATTTCAAAGATCTCTGATACCAGAAATCAAGACTTCCCAACACAAAGAGGTATACCAGCACTCAGTGACTGGAACTTGCTTCCATGGGATTTAACCCATGAGCTTGATCAGTGTCCTCCAGGGGGATGTAGAGCCGGGGCTCACATGCCGTTGCCGAAGTTAAGGTGTATTTTGATTACTAATGATATGAAAGGATAAAATATCCTTACCCAGAATTAATGTTAGAATGCCACTTTAGTTCACATTAAGTTAGGAATTTGACAACCTAAAGTACCTTTATTTTATTTAAAAATAATTATACTGTATCTTGGTGACACAATTTATGTCTGAGATGTGGAACAGAGTTGTTCAAGCATTAACCCTGGTCCATAAGGAAGAACAGTTCTAGTAAAACAAGATTGTATATATTTGTTCCAACTATTTTGACCAAAAAGTTTAATAAATTTTAAATGTTTAACTGGATTGCACTGTGTATTTGAAAACCTTTTTTGCTATCTTTACAATTATTTTTCACTGACTAACCAGCCTGTGACCCCAGAGGGGATGAAATGAAGGTAAATGTGCAGACTCGTGTATTTCAGGTGGCTGCCTGGGGCTTGTGTGGTCTGGGTATGCTCATCCCTGGGAGCAGCCAGCAGCCGTACCCCCATTTGTGTGGGTTTCCCTCAATATTGTGTCAACATTTTCAGATCTGTTCTTCATGACAGTTACAAGTGTTGGCAAAAAGGATTCATTTCTGAGAAATATTAAGTTTCTACCTTTGCCTTTTATGTCTATTTAAGACTTACATTGTCTTATTTTCAGACTTACATTGTCTTGTTTATATTTAAGATTATGAAATACTGCGCCTATCATTTTTCTTCTAAAACTTTCCTGTTTACAGGTAGATAGATATCTGTTACTGAAAGTTAATTCTGTGAATTGCTTTATTGCTTAGAATTTTTGCTCCTGTTAATATGTGGGATTTAATGCTCTCTGGTCTGATGACCTGGATTTAGATGAATAAGCTTTATTCACATCTCCATTTTGCAGTTTTCTGGTCCTACGCCCGCCCCTTGCTAAGGGTTAACACATTCTGACTAGCTTTAAACACCAGTGGTATATGACACAAATGACTGTTCCATCAGGCAGCTGTACCAACTGATGGGATTGTCTCATGCCAACTGATGGGCTATGCGTGTACCACCGGTGGTTCAGGCCCATCCAGCAGCGAGACATGTGAATTATGGCCCCATCATGAACGTGTTAAACCCAAGACCTTGCATGGGCAAGGTAAGCACTTCTACCACTGAGCTACACGCTACATTGAGCTGAAAATAGATTTTAAAAATCATATTAAGAGGTTTATTTTAAGAATCTATTTTAAGAGATTTTAAAAATCTCTTTTTAAAAGAAAAGTTATAAATAGTGCCATTACAATGCAAGACTCAAAGTCTAGTCATTGGCATTGGTGAGCTGAACAGTACAGCAGATGCCAAGTAGAGACTGTGCCACACTACCTGTGTGGAGCTAATTAGCAGTCAGCTTTCTCACCAAATGCCATCCCTAGAGCTGAATGTCTACCAGAGTGAGTCTAGTTCCCAGCATGGCTGAGGTGGGACCCACCAAGCCCAGAGGGCTCTGTTGCTGTGTTGCTTTCTTAAGAGGAATTTTTGTTTGTTTGTTTGTTTTTGCAGTACTGGGGATCAAACTCAACCTTCCCCTTGGGAGGCAGGCGTGGTGCCACTGAGCTAAATCCTTGGCCCAAGAGGAATTGTTTTAAAGGGAATAAGACAGACATCAGGATTGGCACTTAGATTTTTTTCCTTTAAAGATGTCAGTGGACCAGGAGCTTTGGCATCAGCAAGGGACTGAAGAGAATGAGGTCAGGGCCAGTGAGAGTCCAGATTGTACAAGGCCCTGGTAGTACCTCATCACAGACAGTTAAGTGAAGAAAGTAAGTGCCTGTTGTATACAGAATGTTATTCTGTGCTCAGTCAAGCCTTTGAGGCAGGCCTTTGCCCTAACACTGGGCTATGAGTGGTCAGCAGAGATGGGGTGCATTTCCATCATGACCTGTCCCAGAGGTCCTGTACCCAGGATGATGGATCAGTTTACAGAACTTTCTATAAACTGGTGACAACTAACCAGGCCTACGGCATTGTAGATGAAGAAAACCCTGGAGGACAGCCCCTAAAACACACCAGGCTTGGGCATGTGCCTACAGCCACAGTTGAGAGGCTCCTCACTTGAGGGGCCTGTCTGACCCAGCTGCCAGGCCTTTGGGTTCTATCCTCATCATACCAGCCTCCTGACAATGAGCGAGGCAGTACACCACACCAGGCTTCTCAATACAGGCTTTGTGGGTGGGGAGGTGACCAGATATGTAGAAGGGCAACACCTCCAACCTCCACAGGGTGATCATAGGTGACGCATGGTAGGGTTTGCCTGGTGAGGGTGATGGCCCCTTCTGGGTGCTTGCTGCACATAGGCACTGGGCAAATGCTTTCCCTAACCCAAGCTGCCCTTGGTTACAGTGGACACACCACACATTTGGTTAACTAGTACCAGGCTCAGATTCAAACTCAGTGCATCTGTGTCCCACAGTGCACTTCTCTGTGGAGTGCTAAAGATGCTTGGAGCTACAGACAGAATGTAGAGGATTCTTGCAGGCTGCAGAGCTTGGCCTTGAACTTTTAGGAACCATGGCACCCATGAAATGAGAAAGGGAAAAATGAGACTGTGCAGAGATTGGTGTCATTCAAGGCCTGTCTCAGTGTTGTGTATCTCTGGCTCTAGCAGCTTATGCTAAGCTCACTTAGAGCTCAGAGGAGCTGTTACTTCACATCTGTGGTCACAATGTGGTGGTACTGTCACTGGGCAGGATACACATGATAGGAACCTGCCCTTGGATGACCTTTTGGGTTTTTTAAGTTAAGACTGGCAAACTTGCCCATTCTGTTCACACTTGTCTATAATTTCATCTGCTCTGCTTCAAATCCCATACATTTCCTCAATAAACACATGTGCACTCAGAGGACCAGTAGGAGGGTCTTTAGAAGAGACAGAAGCAGCAAGGGACTGACCAGAAGGCTAGTACTGCTCTCCACCTAAGGAGAGCTGTGGGTGTCTGCAACTTTGCCCCTGAAGTTGTCCTGCATATTGATTTTGTGTAAATCCCTTCAATTAGAACTTACTCCTTTATTGCAGTACTGGGGATTGAACCCAGGGTCTCACACAAGCACTTTACCTTTGAGCTACACCCCAACCATCTTTTCTTTTTTTAATTTTTTAATATTTAGAGACAGGGTCCAAGTTGCCTCAACTATTGTCAAACTTGGGATCCTCCTGCCTTATCCTCCTGAGTAGCTGGTATTACAGTCATACACCACTGTGCTGGTTTAATGCTGGATATATATTTATATACGGAAGACCAGTACTTTATAATATGGAAACTTAAAATACAACCATCTACCTGTCAAATGGTACATCCTAAGTCATAGAAAGTGACTCACAATAGACAGGAGCCCTTGATAGCAGAATGATGAGGTGAGAACTCCTGAACAGGGTATCAGGAACTGAAAGTATCATAGTGGAGAAGCCAAGCTCTTTGGGCACAGACACATTCTAGAAAAGCTCAACTCCATGCTGTTTCAACCTATGATTTCTTTAACAAGTCTATAAATGAGTGAAGGTGGCATGTTCAGTTTTCATTTTCCATTCGGTTGTTTGAAAATACAATAATAGGGGGGCCGGGAATTTAGCTCAGTGGTTCTGCCACTTGCCTTGCAAATGCAAGGTCCTGAGTTTGATCCCCAGTACCAACCAAAAAAAAAAGAAAGAAAATACAATAATAGGTATTGATTTTTGCAAATCTCATGGTCTTAGGTTCCATAGCTCTCCTTGAGATATGTCACCATCTCTAACAGAGGAGCCTAGATCTCTTGCACATTTTCAGGGGCCCAGGGGTGCAGATAGGAAACACAGGAACCACCAGCCAGAACTGATGCCATGGTGAGAACAGCGTGGCTTCTGGCTGGAGGGTACGGCACAGGTGGTTGGGCTCAGGCCAAGCAAGCTGCCTGCCAGCCTCAGTCACAATTGCAGAGTCACTTGGCAAGAACATAGCCCAGGCCAAGAGGTGGCAGCATCTCTACAGACTAGAGATTCAATATAATGCCATTACTTGGAGTGCCAATTATGTGGCATCAAATGTCATCAAAGTGGTACATATTTTTAACTATAGCTTTTAAGAAGACTTGGTGACTTTACACAATTCTCTTGTTTGCCTTGGAGTTAACTGTTAGATTATCTTGGTGAAATTTGGAACATCTTTAAAAATGCCTCTGTTCTATAAGGATGAAAAGCAATCAAGTTACTCCAAGAACTTTTTTTTTTTTTTTTGGACAAGGCCTCACTTTGTAGCACAGGCAGGCCTTGAGCTCAATTATGTAGTCCAGGCTGGTGTCAAACTTGGACCAATCCTGCCTCAGCCTCCTGAATGCTGGGATCACAGGTGTCCACCATCACACCCAGAACTCCAAGAACTTTCAAGGGGAAATTTGTTCTCTAAAATTGAAATATCTGAATGCAGTATAACTCTATGGCTCTATTACCTTGAAGCCAAGCATGGTGGTGCACACTTCTCTTAGCTATTTGAAAGGCTGAGGCCAGAGAATCTATTCAAAGCAAGCCTAGTCAACACACACATAATTTTTTTTTTTTTGAGACAGGTTCTTGCTATATAGTTCAGACTGGCCTTGAACTCACTATGCAGCCCAGGCTAGCCTAGAACTCATGCGATCCCAAATGCTGGGATTACAGGTGTCCATCACCATGCCCAGCTACAAATTTTCTTAATTAAGCTTTGAACTGGTAATATCTATACAAAAATCCTTTAAAAGAATTATGGCAAAGTCTTGCTCCTACCTCATGGGTTAGTTCTTTCTTGAGTGTGCTTTCATTTTTTAGGTAAACACAAATATATTCATATCTTCCTTCACTTTTACAGAAAAGATAGCACAGAGTAGACTCATGCCTCTCTTCACTGTACAGTCTTAAGTACATCTCCATAGGAACTCGCACAAAGCTTCCTCAGTAAGTGCTATACAGAGCAGTCAGCCAGCATGGCAGGAGAACACAGCTGTGACTCCGGTATGACCTGGAGATCTGCCTTTCCAACAGAGCCAGGGACCAGTTTCAGAAAAAGGTACCATCTGTTTACTTCTTAACCTTTTATTTTGGTGTAATTTTAAACAGGTTTCAAAGGTCATACAGGGTTTCTATATAACCTTCATCCAGCATCCCTAATGTTAACATCTTGTGTAACCTAGTAACGTATGGAAAACAGGAAATTAACAGTGATAACAGTACTGTCAATTAATCTTCTGCCACCTTTGGATTTTTACTGGCTCTTACGTGTCTATTTTCTTGTCCAGGATCCAGGGAGCATTAGTTATCACCCTGTCTTCTAGTCTCTTCCTCGAGTCTTTCAAACCTTAACATATTTGAAGAATATTTTGTACAATCTCCAATTCAGGGGTGCCTGATATCTTACTTTCATCATCACTGGGACAAAATACCTGATACCACAGTTTAGAGGATTTATTTTGGCTCACATTTTAGTCCTTAAATGGTCAGCAGCATGGTGGAAGGATCTGGACAAGGAGAGCTGCTCACATCATGAAAGCCAGGGAGAAGCCAGAAAGGGAGACAGATTCTTTCACACCCTCTCTGACCTGCCCCTTCCAACCAGACCCCTCCTAACAGCAAGTTAGCTATACAGCCCCAATGATACAATCACATTTCAGAAGCCCCACCTATGAATGCACAAGGTTGGGGGGGGGGGACTAGATATAAACTGTAACACCTAATAACTTCTCATGATTGAACTGCAATTAGGCATTTTGGCAAAAATTATACAGAAGAGATTCATTTATCTTCTCAGTGCATCCCATCAGGAGGTAGATGGTGTACCTGGTTTCTCCAGTGTAACGTTACTATTTGCCACTTTCTAACTGGCATCTCCTGAAGACAATATCAACCCTTTTCATGATCCCTTCACACTAATTCATTTCCATCGATGAGTCAGCAGTTTTTGTGGTTTGCCTAATAGGGATTTTTCTATTTCCATCATTCTTTCCTTATTTGATAATTTAGATTCTTTTTTTTTTTGGTGGTACCGGGGATCAAACTCAGGACCTTGCGATTTCAAGGCAGGCGTGGCACCACTGAGCTAAATCCCCAGCCCAACTTAATTTAGATTGTTAGGAAAATGTCTCCACTCCTCACTTACTTGGTTATTTATTGTGGTAGATTAACTAATGGTCAAATTAAGAGAGAACGCCCAGCTGAACTGAGTAAACCTGGTTCTGGGCATGGGAGACCCATCTGAGGATTGTTGCCAGCAGCACAAAAGGAGAACTAGAGGGGAAGATGTATGCTATTGGTTTTCCTGGAGAAGCTTGCTGAAGCTAGTCTTTTTTCCCCAGTACCAGGGATCGAACTTGGGACCTTGCACTTTCAAGACAGGTGCAGCCCCACTGAGCTAAATCCCTGGCCTAAAGCTGGTTTTCCTGTTACGAACTCAGCTGTTTTCGTCAGAGGAACTCGGGTCCTCACTGTCAACTGAGATGGCTGCCGTTCTTTCAGGGAAGGTCTTCACCTTGAGCGTTGCTTCCTGGCTCCAGGGAAGACCCCTCTGCCTTCTAGCACAGATCCTTCTAGTTCTCACCGTGGGCTGTTGTGCCTTCTCATGCAGATCCTTGATGCAGACTTGCATGAGACATTGCTTAATTTTTAGTATACACATAAACTAAGTTCAAAATTGCTAGCCCACTGTCTTAAAGTAAACTTAACTAGGGAGACTGCCCCAGTTTTTTACCCTAAGCTTACTATCCAGTCCAAATAGTTTCCAGTTGTTCAGGTGAGTACTTCCCTACCCTAGTCAATGTGGTTTTATTACACATTTGTAACCATTACCTCCCCTTATAGAATATTTTGTTTGGATCCACCCCCGAGTACTTGATTTTAATTGTTTCAGCAGTATGTGAGGCACTGCTACAGTTCTGAGTCAGTTGTCCAAAAACTGTACCTACTACTCCTGCTCCCTCCCTGTCTGCTTATTCGACCTGTTCTTTACTCATCTCTTGTACCCATTGAATATCATTTGTTTCTCTTAGCCATCCCCGATTTTTGCACAGATTACGACCTATTTTCCTTAGCTCTCGTCACATAAAAAATGAACTCTATTTTTAAGGGGTTTTTTTTTTCTTGGTACTGGGGATTGAACTCAGGATCTTGAGCTTGCAAGGGAGGCAGCGGTACCACTGAGGTAAAGCCCCACCCCCAAGGGTTTCTTTTTGAGACAGGCTCTTGCTATGTATGTATAAAGGCCTCGAACTGGTGGCAATCCTACTGCCTCAGCCTCCCCAGTACTGGGATTATAGGCATGCATTACCATGCCTGGATAATTGTTTTGGTTTTAAACAACCATTTTGTATCATCTTAAAAAAAAAAACTGGGCTGGGATTTACCTCAGTGGCACAGCACCTGTCTGGCAAGCGTGAGGTCCTGAGTTCAATCCCTGGTACCAAAAAACAAAAACAGAAAGACAACTGTTTTGTTTATCAGTAAGTTCAGCTTATCTTTACTCCAGATGGTTTCAACTAGGGCAGCCTTCCTGTAGCTGGAAGAGCTACGAAGGTGGGTAACCCAGTTTGGTGACTGGCAGGTTCACTGGGTGCTACCCTTTTCCAGGTAGCCTCTCCACTGGGCACGTTGGGCTTCCTTCGGTTATGGAGGCTGGGGCTCAACGCAAGTGCTTCCAAAGCTCAGAAGTAACAGCTGCCAGCTTCTTAAGACTAGATGGGCCCAGGAACTAGCCACACGTCACTTCCTCCTAATCCTACTGACCAGGAAGGTAGTCCAGAGCCCAAGGGGAGGACAGACCTCTCTCTTTAGGACTGTCAAAAAACCCACCACAGGTTTCTTCAAACATGTCACAAAATTCCTCTTTTGGAAGTGATACATATAGTTTTGCCTCTTGCTTTTTCAACTTAATATATCCTGGAAATCATGTTCATTTAATCTCTTCCCCTTTGTACAGTATTTAGCAGCACACTACCATTGTGATTGCCCCATGGCTCTCTCCTATACAAGCATTTCAGGTATTTCAAAATACTTCAATGTACTTTAATATGCTAATGGAAGTTATATCCTCGTGCATGTATCATTTGAGGTTTATCTTCAAGGTAAATTTGTAGAAGTGGTCTGTAGGTCAAAAGTAAAGTGTCAATGTCTTTTGTTGTTCTGGGTTTTTTTTTTTGTTTTTTTTTCGGAGACAGGGTCTCCCTATGTAGTTCAGGCTGGCTTTGAACTATATAGTCTAGGCCGGCCTCAAACTCATGGTGACACTCCTGACTCAGCCTTCCAAGTGTTGGGATTATAGCTGTGCACCACCAGGCCCAGCTCAATGTCCATATCTTTTGAGACAGGATCTTTTTATGCTGGCCAGGCTGGTCTCAAATTCCTGAGCTCAAGTGATCTTTGTGACAGTGGCTGGGACTAGTGGCATGCACCACCACTGTTGTTTAAGGTACTGGCCAGTTCCTCTCCCAAGCTGAAGCTATCTGTCTCCTCCTTGAGCAGTATCATACTCCTCCGAGCTCAGACACCAAGGCTGATGCACATGTCTACACCAGGAAACTGCTTTTCTTACTAGTCAAAGGCTCATTTTCTTGTCACTATTATTTGAATCTTAAAGATTTTAGCCAGTTATGGTGGCACACACCTATAATAATACCAGCACTTGGGAGGCTGAGGCAGGAAGATCAGGAGGCTGAAGCAGAAGGAGACTGCCTTAAGTTCTAGGCCAGCCTGTACTACAAAGCAAGACCCTGTCTCAAAAAACAAACAAACAAACCAAAAAACCAAAATTGTAAGTTAGCAGCTCAATAAATCAGTGGTGTGGGCAGTTATCTGTATGAACAGTAGAAAACACCCATTGCCAGAGCTATTGAGAAACACAATGTCTACACTGTCATCATTTTACCTGAAATTGAAAGCTTAAAGTTGGCCTTCTGCAACTGAGGATCATATATATTCGGGAGAAAAATTCCAGCCAGGCACAGTGGTTCAGGCCTTTAGTCCCAACACTCAGGAGGCTGAGGCAGGATCACCAGAGCCCAGAAGATGGAGACCAGCCTGGGATGACATAAAAAAAAAAATCTGCTTGCACTAAACGTGTACTTTTTTCTTGTCATTATTCCCTGAACAATACAACTGTTTATATAGCATTTCTATCACATTAGGTATTACAAGTAATCTAGGTATATGGGAGGATTTGCATAGGTTATATGCAAATACTAAGGCATTTTATGAGACTTGATTACCTACAGATTTCTGTAATCTTGCGTTGTGTACAGGTGTACCTGTATGTAAAATACATATCAGATGTTTCATTTAAATAAAATGCCTACTGATAAAAATTCCATTGTTAATCTCATTTATCTAAAGCACTTTAGTAACAACATTGTACTTCTAGCAGATTTCACTGAGTGCGGTTAATGACATCAATGAAAGAGACAAGTGTGACCAAGTTTTTCAAGTATCCCAAGTACATGAGTGGTTATTCAGACATGAGTAGGGGATTCTTGGAGCAATCTTTTAAGGGTGCCAATTCGAAGGATATTTGAAAGCCCCCATTGTCACAAAACTCAGAACAAGCAGAAAGAGAACAGACTTATCTAGGGTGATTCAACATGGCCTCACAGATCACATTAAATTATATAGGGAATTCTGGTGTCATTCAATTAGCCTTCTCCAAATGAAAGGGCTATAAACTGTTTCCAAAGTAATAGTTTAAATATAAATAAAAAACTTTTAAAAGTTAAAATGTTACATTTATTTTAACACACCTGAATTAAGGGTGGAAAGGTGAAACAAATACAGTATAATACACACAGCATTGTATCAAAGATGCAGCCTTTCTAAAAATCATGCTGTAGAAAAGATAAAAGAATGACAATGGGGAACAGGCCTGACTTAATCAAGAAACTTTCATATTTGATTCTTAATCTTATGTAAGTACAATAATCTCCAAAGTATTTGGCAATAATTTATTTTTTCTACTTCCAGACTTCTAAAGTAGACAGATTTGCTTTCAATAAAGCTAATTTTAAGAGCACACAAAAGTTGAGCACAAACAGTAAAATTAAATCGAGCAATCCAGAGTAACGAAGGATAAGAGATTAAATAACTGCCTTTGTCAGAAAACTGACCACCTAAGGTGACTACCTGGAGTCCTGACACTGGAAAAGCAACAATTGCTTAGTGTACCAACTCACAGTGGAATTTCTAACTACCTTGTTCTCTATTAAGAACAATTTATATAGTTAAGTGATCTTTACAGACAATCTGCATCCATCTAAATTAAACATATTCTACAATAGTGTAATTATAAGGCCACACTATTTCTTTTGGGCAAACCCCTTAATGTAGTGATTTTAATATTAATTTTATTCATTCTTTGAAATATTAAAGTGTTTTAACTGAATTAAAGTTACATATTTTTAAATACTACATACATCATGACTAGTATATTAAAATTATTTATATTATTTATATCTAATAACCAAAGAAAATTTACTACCAAATTTATACAGTAGATATTAGTCTGCCATGCTTATTAATTGATCCCATAGGTATAATTATAGATCAGCATGATTTTAGTGTCTATTCACTTTACTAATCAGGAACGCAGCATGTACAGAATAAACAAGTGGTGCAGCCACCCAAGGATCATGATAGCTCTTCACATCAGCTGTCACAAGCTCAGATACAAATCCCCACCACATGAACAAAGCTGGATCCAATTCTTCATCAAAAAGTGCTGGTGGAGGTTGTCAGACGCCTTCCAATGTAAATCCTTAACAGAAAAATAATGAGTAGTTAACAAAGTCTCACAATTCCCAAGTGATTTTGCACAGCTGCAACAGGGCAGCTCTCTGTGGTGACTTATGGAAGGTGACCGGTACTTTATATCTATTGTAAAATGTTGTGATCTTTCTATAATCTTTTATTATGTATTTCATATTAGTCTAAAAAAACACCAAGGGCCGGGGATTTAGCGGAGTGGCACTGCACCTGCCTTCCAAGCACAAGGTCCTGAGTTCAATGCCCAGTACCACAAAAAAATAAAAAAATAAAAAAAGGAGACAAACTAAAAAACACCCAACTGTGTTCTAATAGTGTAATGCACTCAATGTAGGTACAAAGTAGGATAACAGCTAGAGATGCAGCTTAGTAGTAAAGTGCCTGCCTAGCACGTGCAAGGCCCTAAATTCAATCTCTGGCACTGCAAAAACAAAAAAGATCAAATGGAATACTAATAAACCAGAAATGCTGTAACTACACAGAACAGCTTTTGCACTTCCCCCTTCTACCCCGCGTGTGTGTGTATGTGTGTGTATGTGTGTGTGTGTGTGTGTGTTGCTGAGGATTGAACTCAGGGCTTTCAAATTAGTTATATACCCATCCCTTCTTATTTTTAGACAAGGTCTTGCTAAGTCACATGTTGCCCAGACTGAGCTCAAACTTGCCATCTTCCTCCCTCAGGCTCTTAAAGAGTGCTGGGATTATGGGTGTGTGCCACCATGCCTGGCAACCCCCTTACTATTTTTAAACTGATCCAACACAGTTCTGGAAAAAGCACCCAGCAGAGTAGGTTGACATCATTCTCAGTTCACCAACAACAACCTCAAAGGCCAACTGCAGAATGACGCCCTTTCCCATAGGCAGCCTGAACTCTGTCCTAATGAGAAGAGGGGCTGCTGGAATGAACACCTAAAGAGCAGTAAGTGTGTACTGCTGGAGGACTATGGAAGGAGGGGTCTCCTGGAAAGGGAAAAGGAGACAAAAGCCTGGCCAGCCAGGCTTGTGGGGAGTGACAAAAAAATGCGGCTGTTAAAAAAAAAGGAAATGTACATCAGCAGTTTTCTGAGTCCAACTAAAGAGGGTGGTTTTATTGTTTGTTTGTTTTTTGAGACAGGATCTCACCCTGTAGTTCAGAATGGCCTCAAATTCATGGCGATCCTCCTGCCTCAGCCTCCCCGAGTGCTAGAATTACAGATGTGCACCACTACCCCCAGTTTAAAAAGGGTGGCTTTTATTCTAACATGGGAAGTGCTGACAATACCAGGACAACACCATCAGGATCTGAAAGACTAAGAAGAACCAAGGCCTGGGACACTGGCTAGGAACTGGCTGCAGAAATCCATCCCGAAAGGATGACCTAAGCCACAAATAAAAATGCAGATTCCCAGGCACTGCCCAAAGATTCTGTTTACTAGTTCTGGGAAAAGCTCCAGAAACCAACGTCTATCCGATTCCTTGCATGAAACTGATGCATTCTGAGTATGACTCCGAAACACACTGGCCAACATAAAGGAGATGGAGTACGGCTGTCCATGAGACAAAGTCAGGAAAATACCATGCACTGGGCCGGGGATTTAGCTCAGTGGTTTCGCCGCCTACCTTGCAAGCACAAGGACCCGAGTTCGATCCGCAGTACCAAAAAAAAAAAAAAAATGCACAGGGAAGATACAAGGGGAAGAGGAGGGTTTCAGCTCAAGAAACTGACAAGCTTCAGGTTGGACAAGTGACTTTGAGGAGCCTCTGGACCACCCAAAGAAAGCCATTTCCACAGGTAGGTGAACTGTGGCTCTAGGGTTCAGAAGGTCAGTCAAGAAGGGCTGACCTAAAATGTACGAATAAATGTTTTGCTATAGAAGGAAAAAAAAAAATGTTTTGTAGCCAGCCATGGTGGCGCACAGGGGTGGGGAAAAAAAAAAAAAAAGGGCTGAGTATAATCCTGCCAGACCCACAAGTCCTATGAGCCCAAGACATGAAATAGATCAGGTCTCATCAGCCACATGAATGGAGTCTGGTGAAAAAGGGTGACCATGCTACAGGAACTTTTTCATGCTGTTTCCTTCTGACCCCAACACATGAGCCCTCCTGACAACTTAGGGCAGAAGCTCATAGTGGCATCTATCCAATAAACTGCAGCCACAGAACACTGTCTGCAAACTGGGCCATGTGAGTGCATCACCTGTCTGGAAAGAAGCTAGGGACAAGCCTACACAGAAGAGCTCTGGCCTTCCCTCAGCTTCCTGCTCTGATTCTTCAGCTATAGGTCTTCAGAATTTACAGCTTGCCTGGCCTCTTATACTGGTTTATGTGTGCTTGTTTGTTTTTGCAGTTACAATTATAAGACAGAAAAATTCTTCCTTTATCGCTGAAAGTTAAACAGAACAATCCTGTCCTATAGGAAATACAGCAAGTTACTGAGCCATCCATTTATAACAATGTAATACAATACAGGAATGAGACTGATTTAAGCTACACACTAATATAGATAAAGAAGTCCGACACGAGAGCCCCTGTGCAAGATCTGGTAGTGAATGAAGGGAGCAGGAAAGGTCTTTCCAGGGTTTTAGGTCATTTCTATTTCTTGACCTAGGCAGTGACTACTTGGGCATGTTTGTAAAAAGGCACCAAGCTACAGCTTACGGTCTGAGCTTCAGTAAAAAAAGTTTAGAAACAAATTACCAAGACCTAGAATTACCCTCAACGCCCACTGTGCCAGGAGTCACATGGGAAAGTCACTTACCCCAATCCAATGGCTAGTAGATGAGACAGTAGCAGAGACGGAAGAAAAACCTTCAGAAACTCTGCTGAGAAAATGCCCCCTTTCTTCATAACACTTGTATTTCTCATGCTGAGAGTAGCTGTGCGCTTCGGGTGTTTAAAGAGGAACTCCCTGGGGGAGGAAGAGTGTTACTGTTAGTCAATGTGTCCTCCGTCAAAAGCAAGATCCTGGAACAATGGAAACAGACTTACTTAGGGGGTATATTTTCTGGCCGACTTGACCAATCCCATATCCAATCTGAGTTTTTCTTCAAGATGCTTTCAACTTCTTTCCTTCTCTCAATATAATCTTCCTCTGACTAAAATAAATATTAAAAAACAGATTAGCCTATCACACTCATACCAAAAGCACGAATTCATACACAGAACCTAGAGCCCAGAGATATAAGCCTGGATTCTTAGATCCCAGTCCAAAGGCACTCATGAACAGGCGAGCTGGAACTCCAGCACCTTCTGGTTTCTGGCATGCTCTTCTCCTTTCTGTGGCAGGACTGCCCAGTCTATTTCGATACTGGGTTCAATTGTGAGATTATAGTAACACTAAAAACTGCAAACACTGTCCTAAGGAAATAATGTGACATGAAGACGAAGATGGTGACTACAGCAATGATTAAACAGAACAAAATGAAAACAATCCAAAATGGCTTAAAACAGGTGTAGTTAAGTATAGAAAATATTATATAACAGCTTTAAGAGATGCTTTCTATTTAGGCAGGAGGCAAAAAAGAAACATATATAAAACCATAATTTTAGCTGATTTTAAAAACTATGTAGGGCTGGGGATTTAAGCTCAGTGGCACCGCATCTGGCTTGCAAGTGCAAGGTCCTGCATTCAATCTCCTGTACCAAACCCCACCCCTCAAGAAAAAAAACTATGTAACAGAATACCAAATACTAACTTAAACGGATTTTAAAATAATTGATTATAGGTGTTTTTCTCTGTTTTTTATTTTTAAAACTTGCACCTGAAGGGCCAGGGATTTAGCTCAGTGGCACCATGCCTGCCTAGCAAGCAAAAGGTCCTGAGTTTGATTCCCCAGTACCACACACCCACACCCACAAAATGTACCTGAGCTGTAATTCCTTTTAAAATGGGGTGTGTGACCATGTGTAAAATATCACTCCAGAATGTACCAAAAGGTATCAAACATCTGAGTTTACCAAAGCTAGACATGAACCCCAAATGTCTATAAGCAAGTCATATGCCCCAGCACTGTGCTGGCTATCAAAATCCCTACTGAGCTCTGGAAGCCTTTGGAGTCCTGGTAGGGGCCAGGAAGATGTCCTGAGAAAGACTGGGGTAACAGAAGACACTCCTTTCCCCCAGGGCAGAGGCCCTGCAAGGAAACAGCATGGGAGGAGGCAGGACTAATATTAACTGTAAGCCTCTGCTTCCTAAGACAGCTCTAGAGCTAATTACAAGAGGAAACTTCAACAATTTATGTTCTTGCCATTATTAAATATGCAAGAGAACACTTACTGTCTATCTCACATACACAAAGTACAGCAGTACCAGATGTAACCAAAGATATTACTGATCACTACCTCAAAATCCTGTGCAGGGGCAGAACAGAAAATTACTGAAAACTAAGGCAGTAACCCCAACTGTACATTTTCCTTATAGATGTATGCCTTTTTAAGCTTTCTGGCCCCACAACAATGCTAAGTGTCTGATATATAAGATTCATTTTTTACCTGTTAATGTTAGAAAAATGATTTCATATGGAAATTTCTAGGGTGATGAGCTACTAATGCTAAACTTCTCAAGCATCAGTTAGCACTGGATATTAGGAAAGGCCTGTGATGTGTTTACAACGTCCAATGAGGAAGATTCCCAGTCATAACCACAGTGGGAAGAGCCCTGCACGACTCTGTAGGTGATGCCTAACTCCCTTTCAGTGCCCAATCGACAGCCATGGCAGTGAGTGAACCCAGCAGCTCACTCACAGCCACCTTTCCCAAGAGCCACTTGCTCTCTCCACAGGCTACAGGCACCCAGAGAACCCTGACTCCATTCCTGTCTCTGGATGGCAGATGGGGCAGTGGAGGCCCATGCTGCACACTGCACATCCCTCTCAACACCTCCCCTGGGCAGCTCACTGTGAGGCCCTTATGTTGGGGACATTCGCATCTAGTTGTTTTGGGGTTTTCTGTGGTTTGTTTTTTTGAGACAGGGTCTCACTCTGTAGTTCAGACAATCCTTGAACTATGTAGTCCAGGTTGACCTCCAGTGCTATATATAGGTGTGCACCATGACACCCAGTCACTTTTTTTAAGGCAAGAGATGTACCCTAAATTACTTAATTTTACTGTTTCAATTTTTTTGAGACAGGGTCTCACTATGTAGCTCAGCCTGGCCTTGCCTGGCCTCAAACTCATGGTGATCCCCGTCTTGGCCTCCGAGTGCTGGGATTACAGGCATGGACCACCACACCCAGCCTAAATTACTTTAAATAAATAAATAAATAAATAAATAAGTAAGTAAGTTATATTTGAAATGGTTTACTATACAAAGACACTTCAGGGCCGGGGATTTAGCTCAGTGGTTCTGGCGCCTGCCTCGAAAGCTCAAGGTCCCAAGTTCGATTCCAGTACCAAAAACAAAACAAAACAAAACAAAACAAAACAACAACAAAGACACTTCAAATGTTTACAACTGTGCATCCTCCCCCAGCTTACCTGAGAGCTGTTTTTTTCTCCAATGCTATGTGTATCTATTTCGGAAGCTCTATTAGTATCTTGTGGTGTCTGTGAGCGAGGTGGGCTAGACAATGATATGAACAGAATGGGACAAACAGAACATCATGTTAACATTGTTATAGAAGCAAAATCCCCAAAGCAGGGGCATCTCCCTGGTTAAGGACAGGATGGAGGGTTCTTGCCAGCATGTATGTCTTCTTTCCGCCCAACATCAGACCAGTGTCAAACACCTCTTTGGTCTTTTCAACTGAGCATAAAAGGTGTCAACCAGCCAGTCTTCTGGAGAAGAGGCATGGGATACTCAGTGAGTAGCTAGCTCTCTCACCCAATAGCTACCAGGTCTGTAACATCTCTGAGAAGCACTTAACCTTTGGCCACTGGCTGTCAGCCATGCTCCCTTGGTTTCACTCCTACATATTGCTACCAGGAACAGCTCCCTGACAGGCCCACTGAGCAATATGAACGACTCTCTCAGACCTGGGGTTCACACAGTAAGAGTCACCTTACAATGCTAGTGGATATCAAGAGGCAGAACCAAGGGGCCCTTTTGTTGTCTTCTTCCTAACTTTAACAGGGTCCCTGCAGACTAAGCCCCAGGTCATGTCCTCCCACAAGGTAAGGATCCTTCAGAAGCCTCTCCCAGATGGGCATGCACACTTGCAAGTGTCTTTCACTTAGACCACCAGCGTTATAATGCATGTACTTACTTAAATTAAACCTACCTGTCACAGTGAGAACTCTTTGAGCTACTCCGTCCAGATTCACGCTGGGCATCTAGCAGTATTTTTTCCATGTCACCATTATAAATAGAAACTGAGGCTGGAACACTGCTCCCATTCCCATTATTGCTGAAGTGCAATTCTACCCAGGAGCCTGAAGGAGATCAAAAAGGGAATGACTGGAATTTTCTACCCACTTTGGAATTCAGTCCTAATATATAATCGGCCAACTCTTCCATTTCCAAGAGGTATCACTGGTGTCACATAATGAACCATCATCTCCTTGAACTCCACTTTAACAGCCTTTGTGCCCACTTCAGACACACAGATCACTGGAGTGTTTCACTCTCCCTAGGTCCAGCAGGCAACCCCTGGGGCTAAAACAAAATATCTGTATCTCTTGCCACTCCTTTATACGAGGTAGATGTTTGATAAAGCTGCAGTCATCAAGAGTCCAATTCAACTACTTTCCTGCACTCCACTTAAAGAAAAAGCCTAAGAAATTTTTAAACTACTACAGTTTAAACTACTTTTTCTTTTTTGGTACTGGGGATCTAACTCGACCTTGCGCTTTCGAGGCAGGCACAGAGCCACTGAGCTAAATCTTCAGCCCTAAATTACTTTTTTTTTTGGTACCGGGGATCGAACTCGGGACCCTGCACTTTCGAGGCAGGCGGCAGAACCACTGAGCTGAATTCCCAGTCCCCAAACTACTTTTTTTTGAGACAGTGTCGCTATGCAGTTCAGACTGCCCTTGAACTCTATGTAGCCCAGGCTGACCTCAAACTAACAGTGATCCTCCTGCTTCAGCCTCCCAAGTGCTGGGATTCTAGGCATGTACCACGCCTGGCTGAACAGTTTAAATTTTTACATAATGATTACTTCTATTACAGGATGTTAGTACACATTCATGACACAGCCTAATTCTTTATTATCCCCGTCCCTCTCCTCCCTCCCTGCATCTCTTGGACCCCTTCATATATACATACACATATTATGTGTATGTGCCATATATATATTATGTAATATTTATAGTACACAAGAATCATATTCCTCTAAATAGCCAGGTATAGTGGCACACACCTGTAATCCCAGCATTCAGGAGGCTGAGACAGGAGGATTGTCCTGAGTTTGAAGCCAGCCTGACTACATAGCAAGACCATCTCAAAAAAAAATTTTTTTTTAATTAAAAATAAATTTAGGGGCTGGGGATTTACCTCAGTGGCACCACACCTGCCTCACAAGCACAAGGTCCAAAGTTTGATCCCTGGAACCGAAAATAAATTCATTAATTTAGCCATACTGGCCAGGTGTGCTGGCACATACCTGTAATCCAGCACTCAGGAGGCTGAGGCAGGAGGATCACTGCAAGTTTGAGGCCAGGCTGGGCTACGTAGTGAGTTCAAGGACAGCCTGAACTACACAGGGAAAAACCTGTCTCAGAAAATTTTTACCACTCTGTGGGTATGTAGTGGTATTTTATGAGTTGTTTTGCATTTCTCTGATTTCTAATGAGGCTGAAGACTTTTCCATACATTTACTGACCATTTGACTGTCATCTTTTTTTGAAATGGCAGTTCAAATCTCATTGCTTTCTGCGTTGTCTCAAGAGCTTATTTGTGAGAATTATATATTCCAGATAAAAGCCTTTATCCATTTAAATGTGATGCAAATAGCTTTCATTCTTTAAAAACCCACCTCAAATTTAATTCTTACAACCCGAAACAGGATGCACCCTTTATTAAAGACTGCTTCTGCTTCCTTTTCTGCTTTGTGGTGTCTCCTTTGTCAGAAACCAAGTATGTATACATGCACTGCCTCTGTTTCTGGGCCCAGAATAATTTCTCCAGTTTGCTTCATAGGTTTATTTATCTATAGCAAATTGTTAAAAATTAGCCTTCATTGGGCCAGGGATTTAGCTCAGTGGTTTCGCCGCCTGCTGCGCAAGCAGCAAGGACCGGAGTTCGATCCCTGGTACCAAAAGAAAAAAAAATTGGCCTTCATAGATGTCAGGCACAGTGGTATACACATGGAATCCAGGCACTTGGGAGGAGGCTGAGGCAGAAGGACTGCAGGGAGTTCAAGGCCAGCCTTGGGCTACATAATAAGACCCTGTCTCAAAAACAAAACAAAAAACTGAATAAACTAATTTTGTAGTCACTGTAATTATACTAAGTACGATAATAATCACCCTGAAGTGTTTTTTTTTTTTAATCTGTCCTTAAACCAATACAGAACCATACACCACCATGTAATCAGGGGAGAAATGGAGCAGCCCATTAATTCACTATGTTCACTGGAGGCAAGGATAGGCTATGCAGCTTTCCAACAAACTAGGCATCTCCTAAAGAGGCCTGGCTGGGCCTCAGGAAGACACTTGTTGGAGAGAATGCCACATTCATCACAAAAGCAGAATGAAATGTTTATCACCAGCCTCTCAGTAAACTAGCAAATGATTACACAAAGTTCTAAATAAACATATGCCTTTCCTCTTTAGCCTCTCACACTAACGATGGCCTTGCCACATGAAGCACCTAAGGCCAGGGTCTGCAGCCACTGTGCTTCGCACATCAGCAGAAGCTAAACGCTCTCAGGATATACACCACCCCCACCACAACCACCCCCCACCCCGCTCTGATTAGAGTTTAAGCACTCTGAGGCAGAAGCCTGACACTGAAACATCATCACAAAGCTTAAAGGAAGAGTCCTGCACTAGCCCTCCTTTTTTCAGGGGTCTTCAGGAAGACAGTCAAGAAACAGCCCATTCAGCCCCATGGGCCTCCTGTGCCACACGCTCAGCTTTGGGCAATTCCATTCTTTTAGGCTCAATCTATGCTATTCAGATTCAGGTCTGGCTCAGTTTGACTAAGCTAAAATATTGCTCAGATCTCTTATTGAGGTAATGGAGTTTGAGGTGTGTAGTCCTTCTTTCTAAAACTATTTCAGATACCAAATGTGGAGGTTTTTCCAACACTGACAACCACTTTTCTAATACTAAGTGGGTATTCAACAATTCAGTTCTTACAATACCAAGACTTGGTATCAGATCCCACAAATTAAAGGGCTCAGTCCCACAAGACTCTACAGTCAGAAACAGGGTGTCCAAAGGCTGGGGATTTGGCTCAGTGGTCCTGCTGCCTGCCTCTCAAGCACAAGGTGGTCCTGCGTTTGATCCCCAGGACCAAAAAACAAAAAAACTTAGGAACTTAGGAAAAACTTTTAAAAACTTAAAAAAAAAAAAACTTAGGAAAACACTAACTTTACTTACATTTTTTATATAATTCGGAAACAACACACAGGGCAAGGAATAAATGAGGAGTCAGCTCCAAAGTTCTTCCCAACTCCAAAGTTTTGTAAAACTGATGGTTCCAAAGTTTTCATTGTTTAGGGGTTTTTTTTGAGACAGGATCTCGCTATGTCATTCATGCTGGCCTCAAACTCACTATGAAGCCCAGGCTGGCCTTAAACTCACTGCAGTCTTCCTGTTTTTTGTTTTTTAAATAACCCAATCTCGCAGGGGATTTAGCTCAGTGGCACCACCACCTGCCTCGAAAGCACAAGGTCCCAAATTCAATCCCTGTTACGAAAAAAAAAAAGAGAAATCCCAAAGGTTAGGAGCTCTGTGCCAAGAACTGGGGACAAAGACTAAAATATTTACTACACAAGGGGCAACTCAAAAGTACAGAGACCAGTATATTTTTGTTTAAGTCTGGGCCACTAAAAGAATACCTGTGGGGGTGCACACCTGTAATCCAAGCACTCTGGGAGGCTAAGGCAGAAGGACTGCCAAATTCCTAGACCAGCCTGAGGAACTTAATGAGTTAGTCCTTCTCTCTAAAAAAGAGGCAGCGGGCTGGGGATCAGCTCAGTGCAAAGGCCTTGGGCTCAATCCCCAGTACCACAGAAACAAAACAAAAATGGTGGACAATATATAAAGAAATTATGTTTCACAGACCCCTAGTCTGGGAAGCAAGACTCAACCCTTGTTATACAGGGTTAATCACTGGTCGTGCTTTTCCATTGCCCTCCAGAAACTTAGTCCCACCTCATTCTAAAAATGCTGACTTGGAATGCTCAGGCAAATATTTACTAAAAAAGCTCTAATGGTGATGATGCATAGCCAGGAATGAATTAACCCCATAGAGCAAGCTGCAGTGAGCTGTTTGTATTGAAAGCTCCAGAAGGTTTGCCATCACTGGCCTACAGGAAGGGCAGGCACCCATACTGCTTCCCAGATGAAAGCATAAGCAAAACACAACACAAGGATTTGGGATGGTGTAGGATCCCAGGAGAAAGCCCCAGGCAATAGAGCTGATAAACCTGAAAGGAATTAGCACCCCAAAAATGACAAAGGGTTTCTTCCTCAGGATTAGTGATCTTAAACAAACTGCTTTTCTTACATTTAAAAGCTTCTAAAATTAGTTGTGAAATGAACAAGTCTTAAGTGGTAAATGGTTTTGAGCATAAAGTCAAATGGGTGGTAATTCAGATTACTGGTTGTTTGTTCTGTTTTGGCAATACTGGGATTAAATCCAGGTCTTCACACAGCTACATCCCCAGTCTTTTTTATTTTCAGACAGTGTCTCACTAAGTTGCCTAAAGTGGGCTCAAACTTGCAATCCTTTTGCTTTAGCCCTCCCAGAATGCTGGGATTACAGGAGTGCACCATCACATCAAGCAGGTTACTCGCTTCTTTTGTTTTGGGTTTTTTTTGGGGGGGGGGTTATTGAGACAGGAGCTCCCTATGTAGTTCAGGCTGCCCTCGAACTCGAAGCAATCCTCTTACCTCAGCCTTCTGAGTGCTATGATTTCTTTTTTTTGGGGGGGACCGGGGATCAAACTCGGGTCCTTGCACTAAGAGGCAGGTGGCAGAACCACTGAGCTAAATCCCCAGCCCCCAAATGCTATGATTTACAGGCGTGCCTGCACCACCATGCCCAACCAGGTTACTGGCTTCTAAAATTAATTTTACCTTTATCCTCTTGACAGATTGTTCCTATCTAATGTATTCTCAGTCATTTGGGTTCCAACTATCTCTGAGGCACTTAACAAAGTCTGATTTTCCCTTAACTGTTTTCAGCCTTATTTTCATTTAACTTTTAGATATCACTGTGACTACAGGTAAAATGTAGAGGCTGGCCTAGAATCTAAATGTCTGAAACCCCTTCACACTCTAAAACTACCTGATGTTAGCTGGCCTGGTGGTGCAGACTAAGGCAGGAGGATTCCAAGTTCAAGACCAGCATGGGTACAATCCAGTAGCTAGTTCAAGGCCAGCCTAAAGTCCAAACCAAAACAAAGCCAGGCGTGGTGGCACACACTTGTAATCCCAGCACTCAGGTGGGTGGCTGTGGCAAGAGGATCGCTGAATGTTCATGGCCAGCATGGGCTACACGGTGAGCTCAACACCAGCCTGAAGGGCCTGAGATTTAGCTCAGTAGCTCTGCTACCTGCCTCGAAAGCTCAAGGTCCCAAGCTCAAGATCCTTGGTACCAAAAACCAAAAAAAGAAAAAGAAAAAAAACACCAGCCTGAACTACATAATGACACTTTGTGTCAAAAAACAAAAAACAAAACAAAAGCAAAAAATAATAAATAGAACTGCATGATGCTGCAATTTCTCAAGAGAAATACAAATGTTTTTCCTCCTCACTGGAGTCTGCCCATGGCTGGCTGCCTTCAACACCAGAACCATGTGATCAGAGCCAGCTGCAGATAAAGCAGTGAAGAAGTGGAGACTCAGATCATTAAACATCTCTGTCTCCTTATAAGTGGGGGAGACCACTTTACTGAATTGTGCTCCTGAGCTCAAGACAGTGGGTCTTCTGGGGAAATCAGGAACACTCTCATCCTCCTGCATTTTAGTACTAATACACTGAACAAGAGAAAGTACCCCAAATACAAGAGTCCTGCTGGTAAACAGCTTTAACTAGAGTCAGGCGTAAAAGGCAACAGAGCCAATCAATTTTGCTGTTAACACTTCTAGGAAATATATTTGGTTCCAGAGAGCAGAGGCAAAAGGGAGTGTTTACTGTTTGTAGGTTTGGTTACCAACGTTTCCACAGGTCTCAATTCAGAGGTAAACAAGAGGGAATCAAATCAGGATAGAGCAGCAGAGAGCGCAAGTGCCGCCTCAGCTAGGAACCCAAGCTGGAGATTCACATTTCTAAAGCAGCTGCCAAGCCCCACGTGACTAAAGTGACCCCTCCTACACTGGACTGGATGGTGAACAAGTGCCCCGCTGCACGTACACTGGGAAGGGCCCGAAAGAATCTTTACGTGAGTTTCCACACTGTGTAACCATCTTTTTATAGAATAACCAAAGCAAAAACCCAAAAATCTCAACTCTCACACTGCCAATGACTCAGCAGTTTGGTGTATTTGTCAAGAAATGAAGAGATAATATTCAGAAACCCTTCTAAGAGTTTAAATGTTTTGGTTTTTGGGGGGTTTTTGATACCAGGGATCGAACTTGGGTCCTTGCGCTTGCGGAACAGGCAGCGGTACCACTGAGCTAAATCCCTGGCCATAAGAGTTTAAATCTGAATAAGCAAAATACAGGATGATAAAAATTGATAACTAAAGGGTGGTCTTATAAAGTTTAGAAAACATCCCTTGGATCTCATTTTACGAGAAAAGACAAAAACTTTTCAATCTATTTCAAAGGAGTTGACAATGTTTGAATTTAAAGAGAAAAACCTAAATTACAGGATTTTTAAAATGTGGTTGTAATTTAAAAATATATATGTTATTATGTACTCGGCTAATTAAGTCCTGCCTAATGAAATCTCATTTAGAGTAATGAATAAAATTTACCAGTTCACTGAATTTATCTAAGATTTTTAAAAATCTTAATGACGATTAAAAATTCAGTCTCGGAAGTTTGAACTTATTGACATGCTCATTTTTGCTTAGTGAACTCTTGCTTCAGAGAATACAAAGGTCAACACCCACCAGGTTCCCCCTGCAACTCTTGGGCTCTTGGTTAAGACTAGGGATGGACTGGCTTTACCGTGGCCAGGGTCATGCCTGGGCCTTGCTTAGACCCACTAGGTGGATCTCAGGCTGCCACCTAGGCAGCTGTGTGCACCTGTCTGGATTTTCTGATCGGTAAAACTGTCCTCTTGTGGATCCAGAACCAGCAACTGCTAGGCACAGGAAATATCTGCTCAGGGACATTATGCAGACTGATATGGCTGGGTGGTGGGCGGGCAGTTTCCTTTTGCTTTTATTTGCTTAGCCTACAAACCAATCTAAAGCTTCGTCTTCGAATCACCCTCTAGCAAAGTTGAACACACACACATTCTACCCTTTCAGAAGGTTCTCACAGCTTACACCGAAAAAAAGAGCAGCCAACGACTTGTGCCCTAAATCAGGTAACTCCCCTCCCTCTTGTTCCTCTTCAGGAAGTCTTAAAGGGCGTGGTGGCGCACGCCTGTGATCCCACCACTTGAGAGGCTGAGGCAGGAAGATCGCCTCGAGTTCGAGGCCAGCCTGGGCTAAGACAGCCCGAACTATATACATTGAGACCCTGTCTCAAAAACAAAAAAAAAGCCTTCAAGAGTCCCCTCGGGTACAAATATTAACAACTAAAATCAAAGCAAGTGACACTCAACTTGCAACACACCTGGATCTTGCTCGCCAAAACTATAATTGGCCTGAAACACAGACTATGAAGGAAAGGCCAGACTCAACTGGGGAGATTTTCAGTTGTAATTTTAGGTCGCCGTGGGCTGGAAAAAAGAGGCTTATCCGTCAGATCCAAACTGTGCCCAGGTCAAATGCACACCCCCGCTGCCTCCCCGCGGCCCCGGGCCGAGTGCGCCCACCGCCCCGGCCTCTCCTCAACCCCCTGCCTCCTCCACTCAACAACCTACTTTCCCTCAGCGCCCTCCCACCGCGGCCGCCCCGCAGCTTCCCGCGACCTCACCCTGCAGGTTCTCCTCCTGCAACGCGGGGACCCCACTCTGCGACATGACACCAGAGGCTGCTGAACCGTGGATGTCGCTCCGCGCCCAGCTGCGACAGCGCTTCAGCAGCGGTCGCACAAGAGCAGACGCGCGACGGATCCGCAGCTCTGCACTAAACACAGGCGGCGCAGAGGAAAAAGGACACGCGGGGCGGGGCGGGGCGGGGCGGAACGAGAATTCCACCGCGCACGCCTTTGGCTTCAGGGCGGGGTCGGCGAGCACGGGCCCCGGGGTGCGTGCGGCACGTGCGGCGCGTGCGCGGGGCGGGTTTACGGCACGAGCGTGCAAGGGTGCGGAAGTGCGAGGGGTGGGGCCTCGGGGGGGGTTGCGGGGCGGCACCTGAATGCGAGGGGCGGGGCTTGCGGGTGGTCTGGCTCCGCTGGCTGCCTGGTGTCGGCGGATCTGGAGGTCTCCTTTCTGGCCTTGCCAGATCCCCGTGGGAAGGCGCTGAGGACCGACGGGCATGGGTCATGCTTTTGGCCTGAGAGCGGGACCCTGCTAGACTGCCCCTCCGTGGTTGGGGAGACCCATGTGGTTCCCTTGGCCTCCTGGGGGCGTGGAGAAGATGCAGGCTAGCCACGCGGGGAAACTGAGGCCTGCGGACCCATCTCGAGGATCACCCCGCCATCCCCTTGGACACCGCGGATCCCGGAGCCAGCCACTGTTGTCCGCCTTGGCCCTCGCCTCCCGACCACCGACCACAGTCTTCTGTTCCTGGCAGTAGATTCTTAAGAAAATTTTAAAAAATTATAACCTTGGACTAAAATTCCAGGGATCTTAATTAGACATTGAGTGACAGACAGGACTTGATTCAGGAAAGGATAGTTGTAGATTCTGATGTATAGAGAGAAATAATGTTAGAAAAAGAATAAGCTTGACTACAGTTTGTGATTTTTTTCGGTACCAAGAATCAAACTCAGGACCTTGCACTTACTAGGCAGGCACTGAGCTATAATCATTAGAAAACTAGCTATAGCTTCCAATTTGAGGAACAGACAATGGGAAGGGGAAATCAGCAAGAATATGAAAGATTGGAATAGCACAGTTAATTTCATTTGTTTAAATGAACACACAGAAAATATGGATTAAATCAAACATCTTTGGATCTTTTTTTAAAAATTGAGTGGGGCGTGGTGGCGCACTCCTGTAATCCCAGCACTCCAGAGTCTGAGGCAGGAAGATTGCCCAGGTTCAAGGCCAGCCTGGGCTACATAGCGAGACCATATCAAAAACAAAACAAAACAAAAACTGGTTGTGGATTGGATCACTTAAATATCCTCAAAAGAAGAAATAAAGCCAGTTATGGTTGATAAGGAAATAATGCACAAAAGCAGGCTTTTGTCCGTTGCCAAGCCCCTCCCCCATGTTTTTGTTATGTTTTTGTCATGTTTTATTCAAGCAGTGTAATTCTTCCAGCTACAAGATGTTCCTACCGGATGTTTCAAGATGTTCTGTTAAGTCTGCCCTTGTGCTTCTGTAAGCATGCTGGCCAGGTATGTAAAACACACACACACCTGAAATCTCTAAGGTTGATTCTATTTCTGTTCGGGACACCAAGTTCGGAGAAGGAACTCCCCTGAGCCCACCATTGTAATAAAACTTGGTTCTGTCCATCTCTCAGAGTGCTTCCCTAGGTTTCTTCACCTGTAAAGACCTTCGGATAGCTGTAATACAGAGCTGTTAACACTTGGCTGTAATGCTGAGCCGTCACACTTTGCTGTAACGTGGTAGCACACACCTGTGTAATAGCGCTTCAGAGGCTGAAGCAGGAAAATCAATTCCATGGCCCCTGGGTTACTTAGCTCAAGGTCAAAGTCTAAACACTTAGACCCTATCTCAAAAAAAAAAAAAAGTAGCCTGCAAAAAGAATCTCCCCTTGGAAAAAATAATCACTCCATTTGCTAATTATGAAACCCTTCTAAATAACTCCTGTAAATTAACTACCAAAACAAATTATGGTCAATTTTAAAATAAAGGGTTTAAGAATTCCTAGAAGAAGGGTAGTTTATAGTATTCGGCCTAAAAAACAAGGAATGAAGAATTTGAATGTCACTATTTTGCAACACCTACTGTGTTAGGGCTAATGAATCTAAATATTGATCAGCAGTAGCCACCAATATTGCAAAAGGAGACAGGCGAGGCTGTGGGTGTGGCTCAGTGGTAGAATGCTTACCTAATTGTGAGGCTCAGAATGCCTCGCCACGGACAGAACCTGTCACCTGCCACCTGCCACCTGCCACGGAGGGAACCTGACACCCTCCGTGGACAGGTTTATCTTTCTTCCCAACCTCCCTTAAAATAGAACCCAAACCAAATTCATGGAATGGAGAGGACAGAAATCCTATGAGGATTAGAATCAGCAAAGAGAGTTCAAAACCAAGAGAAATAACTGAGTCTTTTCAATAATATGTTGAAAGAAACAAGAGAGAAACAAAGGAAATTGTTTCCTGATTTGACAAACTAAAAAAGAAAGGAAAAGAACTGGAAAGTTAGCTGCATGTGGTGCTGCATGCCAGTAGTCCCAGTACTCTGGGAGGCTGAGGCAGGAGGATCCCAAATTCAAACCCAGCCTGGGCAACTTTGCAAGACTCTATTTTAAAGTAAAAAATGTAAAAAGGGCTGGGAATGTGAAAGCTCTAGATTCAGTCTTCAACAATGAGAAAAAGAATTAGAAAATTGAACATAAAGTGGATATTTTATGATTTTAAAGAGATTAATATTTTAGATATAATGTTTTTAGTGTGTTTTATCTATATACTAACTGAAATATTTATGGATAACAAATAATACAATGTCTTGAATTTTCTTCAGAATAACACAGGGGAGAGTCATTGAAGATGGAGATGAAACTGATAAGAGTTCTCTATCAGAAAAAAATGGCCCCAAAGGTCCTACATTCTAAAATGGCTCCCCTTCCTAAAATGGTTCCCGATTACAGAAATGAGCCACTTTGGAAAAGTGAAACCTACCCCCTCTGGAGAAGCAAAACCTAACTGCTCCACCTGCTACTCACGTGATCCTCCCCTTCCAACCACCTGACATCCTGTTGCTCAACTCTCAGGATAGTCTCTCCACTGCACTGCCCTATATAAACCTCACCCCAGGCCCGAGGATTTAGATCAGTGGTTTCACCGCCTGGTGCCCAAAGCGCAAGGACCCGAGTTCTCTCTCCGGTACCAAAACCCAAAAAACAAACCTCACCCCAGTTAGTCTCGCCTTCTCTTGCCATTGTTCAAGGTAGCCCAGCAGGCCCGTCCCAATAAAGCCCTGCCTTCGGTGCTCCTGTTTTGGCTTGTTTTCTTTCAGAAACAGGATGTACCATGACTTCATAATTATTGGCTATTTTTTTTCCAGTACGTGTCTTGATAATTATTAAAACTGGGTGATAAGTACATGGTGGTTGATTTTATTCCATCTTCTTTTGCATATGTTTGATTTTTTTCACAGAAAAAAAAGACAAAACAAGACCAATAGGTATCGAAAACTAAGTAAGAAAGTCGGCATTCTTAACATTTTTTTAGCCTTATCTTCCTCTCGAGATCTTACTGAAATTGTCACTAGACGGGGTCCAAAGAGGAAATGGGAACCTCAACTCACCCAGATAGTTTCTTGACTCTTGCTTCAGGGAAAGAATTTCAGAACAATCGATTAGAGGAATAGGCACATATACTAGGCAGAGCTGAAATACACAGAAAATAAAGTTTAGGCACTCAAATGTGAGATGTGTGCTGTGGTCTGGGCTTGAGGATATATATGTGGCCTTTGTGAGTGTGTATGTGTGTGTGTGTTGCTGGGAATTGAACTCAGGGCCTTCCCACTGAGTTACATCCCAATCCCCTTTTTTTATGTAATGTTTTGGAGGGGGGTTGAGACAGGGTCTCAATTTGTCGTTCAGGCTGGCCCTGAACTCACTGTGTAGTCCAGGCTGGCCTCAAACTCATGGTGATCCTCCTTCCTCTGCCTCCTGAGTGCTGAGATCACAGACGTGTGCCACCACACCCAATTTTATTTAATTTTTGAGACAGGGTCTTGTTAAATTGACCAGGCCTGAACCTGCAACCCCCTTCCCGCAGCCTCTATTGTACAGATGTACCATCATTACTTACATGTTTTTGGGGGGGGGGATTTGGGGTGGTTTTTTTTGAGACAGCATCTTGCTCTGTAGTTCAGGCTATCCTTGAGTTCACTGTGTAGCACAGGCTGACCTCAAACTCCCAGTGATCCTCCTGCCTCAGCCTCTGGAGTGCTGGGATTGCAGGCATGTGTTACTACACCTGGCGATGTTCATTTGATAGACATTTGGAATGTTTTCCATTTTTTTATTTGTTTTGTGCTTGGGATTGAACCCAGGACCTCATGCATGGTAGGCAAGGGTTCTACCACCGCGCTACAGCTGCATCCCAAGAATTGCCATTTAACAATATCCACTCTTCTAACCCACACAATATATTTGTCTGTTATTTAGGTCTCTTTTATTTCTCTCAGCAGTGTTTTTTTTTAGTTTTCAGTGCACAGGTCTTATACTTCTTTTGTCAGATGTATCCCTAAATATCCATATTTTTGATGTTATAAAAATTGTTGAACTTTAGTATTTTTGTTTATTGCTAGCATGTAGAAATACTGATGTCAATGTATGATTGAATCCTAAGGACACTGAAATATAATTTTATAAGCCTTCTGAGGTCTCTAGGCAATTATTCAGGTATGATATTTTTGTTTAGTTATTTTTCTTTGTTTTTGTTACTTGGAATTGAACATGAGGCCTCTTACAGGTTAAGACATGCTCTATCACTGAGCTATACACCAGCCCTATCTACAAAAATGTTTAAATACAAGTGTTTTCATTTTGCAACCAGCTTTTTCCTCCACATTTAGAGCCCTCTACAACTCCTAGCAACTTCCACACTGTCAGAACCCTGTGGAAGTGAGAAGTCTGAAGCATAACCTTCAAATGATTTCACTGTAAATATGTTTTGTGTCCAGGTGAAAGTTATGACAAAGAGACAGCCTTTCCAGGAGAAGCACAGAGGAGCCCAAGTCACAGTTGGGGAACCAAAACATAGAAATGGGAAACGGGCAAGCAAATATGCTGAAACTATTCTCCAGTTGATGTCCCCTGCTCTCATTGTTATTGGACCCAATCCCACCTGCTGGCTGCT